CTGGCACATTTTACACAATACGTGCTCACCTGATTTGCCCAAGAGACAGAAGGCATGCATGCAATATGCCTGTACATCATTGAGAACAGGAATACCCAGCTCACCAACTTCCCAAGAGCTAGCCCAGAACTAGAAGGAGAAATGACTGATCAGGGCGATCAAAGGGAGACACTTGAATCCATCCCTCAAGAGTGTCTTTAGCAATGAAGGTGTGTCAAGTTGAAGCAGAGGCAGATGAGAGAGCTGGCTCTTCCAGTGAGGGAGGCATATACTCAAGGCTACTCCTGGTCAGTTGGAAACACGGCAGTCCCTGAACCTGCAGCCTTGTGCAAAAATGTGGACTGCTGGCATGCTCCGATATTAGTTTCCATAATCGGAGTCACAGCATCTGAGTCAGCGCCAAGTCAACACCTCTAACTACAACATTTGGGTTTCTTGGCCAGTTACGGAAAAATAAGGTAGCAGTAGGTGATGATGAGCTGTTAAGAGACAGAGATTCATGAATGGATGGATGGCCCCATGGGCATTGGTAGGTACCATCCAGCTGCCTCTGACTCATAGGGACGCTGTGCAACAATGAAGGCTCACCTGGTTCTTCTCCATCTCCACAATCGTTCTGTTTGGGCGTATTGTCATATCCCCTGCGTCCATCGTCTTGTCGAGGGTCTTCCTCTTGTTCACAGACCCTCTACTTACCAAGCAGGATGTCCTTTTCCGGCACTGATAATTCTGGGTACCACAGGAACCATCAGAGTATGACAAACTGACAGAAGGGGGGTGGGGGGAGAGATGATAGCTAGTGGACTCTCAGGTCATCCTTATGTACAACAGAACGGAACACGACCTGTTCGCTGTGCCGTCCTCACGAGGTACAGCGTGTTTGAGCCCATCGTCCACAGCAGTGGTTGTGTGTATCTGTCTCACAGAGAATCTCCCTCTCCCCCAGGGACTCCCCTTTTCACCTAAAGGATGTCCTCCCCCAGTGATTGATCTCTCCTGATGAGGCGGGTAAAGCAAGTAGAGTCAGACTGTGTTCTATGAGCCTCAAGATCTTCACCAGCTGCTGTTCAAAGGCAGATCATTCGGCTTTTCTGCCTAGTCTCCCTTCGGCTAGAAGCTCTGCTGAAAGCCATCCCTTATACCTGACCCAACTGGTGCCATAGCTTCCAGCATCACAGCATCACAAAAGCTGCCACAGGAGAACCAAGGGACAGACAACTGGTGAAGCTGATGCTATAGCAATTACCTAAACCCTAGATACTCACAGCATGGTCCAGGTCTAGCAGCTTCCCAATTTGTTAGAAATGCAAATCCCTGTCCTCCAGACCCACTGGGCCGGAATCTGCATAGTCACACCCTCCTAGGACCTCTGCACGCTTCCGAGCATGAGCAGTGCTGTTTCTCACCACACCTGGGCATTTGCAGGGTCAGAGCTCCACTGGGAAACATGAGATCCACTAGTGATTTTTCCACAAACGTGAGCATGGGCCCCTCACCAGATTCCAGCAAAGTGCCCGGGATCAATCAAATACTGGCATCCTGGATGTCACCATATCAACGAGTTTACAAAGGCAGCACATCTGCCCTTTGCCATATCTCCATTTCCTAGAACAGCTGGCCCCACCAGTGTCCATGTAGCTCCTGGTTTCAAACCGGACTGCACCCAGGAATCTGCAAAATGTCCACAGCCTAGCTAGTTGTAGAAAAGAATCTGTTTTGATCCAAGAAGTCCTCACCCACACATAGACAGCACAGGGATATGAGCTGGGGTTGATCCTTACTCTGAGAGTCTGGAGGGGAAGGGGTGGTGGGCAACCACCGGGCTCACCAGGGTCCAGAGTGCTTCTAGAAGAGAGAAAGGGCTGTGGACGGTACATATTGGGTTTGTTTAAACTTCAGAGAGCCTATCTTTGCTGCTAGCTGTTGCTGAATTGGCCACCACCCCTGGCAATCCCACATACAATACAACAGCCCACTGCCCGGCCTGTGCCCTCCTCAGAGCCAATTATGGATCAGACCGTGGTGACCCGCAGGGTTCTCACAGGTCGGCTTTCAGAAGTCGGCCACCAGACCCTCTTTCCTAATGCGTCTTCGTATTCATCAGGAAGCTGCTCAGCATCGGAGCAAAACAAGTCTTCCCTGATGTTATGGGGGGTCGGGGTGAGGGCTGGCCCCGCATGAGTTGTATTGGCTGGGAATTTATTCACTAAGTACCTGCTGTGTGACAGCCCAGCCAACCCTAGGCTCTCCTAAACAGAAGGCAAGAACTCTACCCCTGAGCCACCTCACCCTCTCCCACCCCCCAAAAACCCACCCCACAAGTTGATTCTGCCTCATAGTGACCCTGTATACAGTGTTTCCGAGAGTATCAGTCTTTATGGGAATAGACAGCCTCATCTTTCTCCTAAGAATTCACTAGTGCGTTTGAACCAGTGACTTTGTGGTTAGCAGCCGCGTGCCTCATCCTCATTGTCACCACGGCTCCTTCTGCCCACCTAAGGAACCCATACTATCCCCACTTTGAAAGAGATACCAGAATTTGAGGCTGAGAAGTGGACAAACAAGGCTTGCATTCTGTAGTATTGAAACCACAACGTCACTTCCAGTCTGTCCAACTCCAAAGTCTCTTCGCTGAGTTCTCATCTTCCTGATCAGGGGAGTAACTCCATAACACTAGAACTCACTTGTGTACGAGGGGGGAACCTCCCCCAAAAGGAATTTTTGTTTCAAAGCTATGTATGTATTTACTTATTTATTTTACAAAACAACCTGATCACCTTCAGAGTACTCTCCACTACACTTAATGCATTTGTCAAATCTGAGATTCCATTCTTGGAAACATTTTTTTCAAACTCAGCTGTTTGGATGGCTGACAGCATCTCCCTCATTTTTTCCTTCACCTCTTCCCCATTGTTGGATTGCTGTCCTTTCGTGTCCCTCTTCATTGGAGGAAACAAAAAGAAGTCACACAGAGTGAGGTCAGGTGAGCTAGGTGCGTGGGGCAAGAAAGGCATGCTGCTTTTTGCCCAAAACTTGTGCACTATGGCTGCTTGAGCAGGTGCATTGTCATGGTGGCAAAACCAGTCCCTCTGAATAGAAAGCTTGATTACCAGTCTGACCTGGTTGAACGAACTCCAGTGCACTATGAGTCGACATCTTTGTCTGTTTGGAAAGTTGACGGACGTCCAGAACGAGGCTTG